TTGGCGCTGCAAGCAGCGCATCCGAAGGGCTACGTAGGTGGGCGCGAGTTCAAGAAAAGCATCGAGCTGGTGGAAGTCATGAAGTTTGTGGGCCTTGCGCAACGACACGATCGTCGTCGCCAGTAGCGAGAACGTCAACTTGGAGTGGCGGCGCAACAACTTGCGCGACTTCCTCCGGCGCAGGGACGGCATCCACTTCGGCTGTTTGCGACGGCTCAGGCACGGCAACGGCTTCGGGCGACGACGCAGGTGTCGCTGGCACGGCATTCACTTTGGCTGTTTGCGACGGCGCGGGCACGGCACCGGCTTTGGACGACGCCGCAGATGTCGCGGGCACGGCACCGGCTTCGGGCGACGCCGCAGATGTCGCGGGCACGGTACCAGCTTCGGGTGACGCCGCAGATGTCGCATCTTCAAGTACGACGGCATCATGCACAATGATAGGCATGTCCCATCGTCCGTTGCGGGTTAGTGGTGGTGGAGGACCCCATCCGGCGTTTCGAGTTTGCACTTGGCTGCGGTCATTTGTATTGGCCGGCGAGTGTGGGCGGCGGCCGCAGTCATTTTGACGCGAAGGAGACCGGGGGCGGCCGCCCCCTCGACCGCCTCGAACACCGCCACGGCCGCCGCCACGACAACACGGCCAGAGAACGAATATTCCGCGTTGCGGCGGTCGTGGTAATACGGTCGGTCGTTACGGCGGTCATCGTAGTAAGGTCGGTCGTTGCGGCCGTTGCGGTTGCTGGACAGACGATCCTCGTACACTTGGAAGCGGCGCTGCACTGATGCCTCGCGCTGCCGGCGACGTCGCTGAGTTGCCGTTTCACGACTTGACGGATCGGGCACCACCACCATCTGCACCGCTCCAGCGGCGATGACCGTGAAGGTCATGTTGCAAAGGAATTGCATGGACATGTTCATGTTCGTCATAGCTAACTAGGGAGAAAATGAAAAGAGGCAAGACCATTCAAATTTGTTTATACGGCAGTTGAGAGACTGCACATGAGGAAACTCAACGATTGGTAGAAAAGGTTTGCACGTTAGGTTTATACATTGATTTAAATTGTTGGGATCTATAATTCAACTGCTCCTGCAGCTCAGTGGTATGTCGTTGGGTTGGGAAGCGAAAGGTACCGGGTTCAATCCCCGCCGGTTTCCTTTACAGTTAACATTCTTTTTGTTGAATTATCAGGTTAGGTTTATACATCTATTGACTTGTACAAATGAATAATTCAACTGCTCCAGTAGCTCAGTGGTATGTCGTTGTGCTTGTAAGCGAAAGTTCTAGGGTTCAATCCCACTTGTGTAACTTTGCATTTATGTTTTTTTTGTTCAACTTTATGCTGCGATCGCGCGATTTTCATGTATGATCGGCGGCTAATAGCTCTAAAGTAAAATGAGAGTTTTCTTCGCGCTGCTCGCCTTGTGTTCCATCACACTATGCTTCTTCAATCTGTACAGTTCGCTGCCTCGATCCATCTTGCCGTCCTTCTTGAAAAGGCCCTTCGGATGATAGAAAGAGTGAAATTTGTCCCAGCAGGACCACGCGTCATGGG